GTTTAGGTCTGTTATCCACCGTGAGTTAATAATTTTCATGAGTGGTGAGAGGTGTGGATCCTGTTTCAGTCTTCTAAACATGGCTATCTAAGTTTCCCAGTACGATTTATGGAACAGGGATTCTTTTCCCTGGTGTATGTTTTTCCTTGCTTTGTCAAATATCAGAGGGCAATATAAGAATGGTTTTATGTCTGGGTTTTCTGTGAGATCTATAGGTCTATACCTCTGTCGCTGTGCCAGTACTGTGCTATTTTGGTTACTATAGCCTTGTAGTATAGCATTAAGTCTGTCTGGTAAAGTGATAGCTCTAGATTTCTTCTTTTTCTTAAGGTCACTTTGGCAATTTGGATAATTTTATGGTTCCATATAAAGTGTAGGATATTTTTCTAGATCTTTGAAAAATGATGTTGGAAACTGGGCACAGTGGCTCACACCTGTAATCCTAGCACTCTGGGGGGCCCAGGCATATAGATTGTTTGAGCTCACAAGTTCAAGACCAGCCAGAACAAAAATGAGACCCTGTTTCTACTAAAAATAGAAAAACTGAGGCAAGAGGATCATTTGAGCCCAAGTTGGAGGTTGCTGTGAGCTATGATGCCACAGCACTCTACCCAGGGTGACAGCTTGAGACTCTGTCTCAAAAAAAAAAAGAAAAGAAAAGAAAAGAAAAGAAAAGAAAAGAAAAGAAAAGAAAAATGATGTTGGTAGCAATTGTATGAATCTGTACATCACTTTGAGTAGTATATACATTTTAGCAACATTGGTTCTGTGGTCCATGAACATGATATGTTCTTCCATGTATTTACATCCTCTGCTATTTCTTTCTTCAGGCTTCTGTAATTCTCCCTGTAGAGGTCTTTCACCTCCTTAGTTCAATATATTCTAGGTATTCCATTTTTTGTGTGTGACTCTTGTGAACAGTGTTGACTCTTTAATTTGTTTCTCAGCTTTATATATGCCCTTTGATGAGTTTTTAGTTTGGGCTACTACAAGGAATTATAGACTGGGTTGCTTAAAGAACAGAAATGTATTTCTCACATTTGTGGACAATAAACATCTAAGATATTAGGTTGTTAACACAGTCAGATTCTAAAGAGGACTGTTATCTGAGTTGGAGAGGGCTGCCTTCTCACTGTGTTCTCATGTGGCTGATGAGAGAAAGAGAGAAAGATAGAGCTCTCTCTGGAGTCTTCTTTGTGAGGACCCTAATCCTACTCATGAGGGCTTTGCCCTCAGCACCTACTTATCTCCCAAAGCTCTCACCTCCCCATACCATCACATTGAGAGTTAAAATTTCAACAAAAGAAAAAGGGTGCAAACCTTCACTCCCTAGTAAGTGGAGTCCACACAAGGCAGACCTGAAACCAGGCTGACAGCCTCCCCTTTTGTCCCTTTTCTCAACAGACTAGAGACAGGTCTCAGGGTCCAGAAAAGCCCATGTGGTTAAACAAAGTCAAGGAAAGCTTGAACAAGAAGATGTACCCCCAAGTGAAAGAGTTTGTGGAGGACATGCGCCTCATCTTTCAGAACTACAAGGAATTTTACAAGGTAAGTGACTTTTCCCGCTTCCCACTGTCTTTCAATTTAGTCACTTTAAAGTCACTTTACCTTTCATCTTTTATCAATTGCCCTTGTCACATGGTAAGCCCATACAACTTCAAATTCTGAAGTCCTCTAAAACCCTGTAGTGCACATGAGGAAAATAACAGCAAACCGGAAGATATCATCAGCCTTAATAACAAGATTCTGAAAATATGATTAAGTACAGAGCCTAAAGTTGGGAACGGCCACATGGAAAACACAGACTTCAAAGAAAGTCAGTGCTTGACATCAAAAGTTCAGGT